ATGGTCAGTTTTCAGAATGGAGAGAGATAAATAGTGGTGTCCCCCAGGGGGTCTGTACTGGGCCCAGTCCTATTTAACATATTTATAAATGATCTGGAAAAAGGGGTAAACAGTAAGGTGACAAAATTTGCAGATGATACAAAACTACTCAAGATAGTTAAGTCCCAGGCGGACTGCGAAGAGCTACAAAAGAATCTCAGAAAACTGGGTGACTGGGCAACAAAATGGCAGATGAAATTCAATGTTGATAAATGCAGAGTAATGCACATTAGAAAACATAATCCCAACTATACATATAAAATGATGAGGTCTAAATTAGCTGTTACCACTCAAAAAAGAGATCTTGGGAGTCATTATGGATAGTTCTCTGAAAACATCCATTCAATGTGCAGCGGCAGTCAAAAAAGTGAACAGAATGTTGGAAATCATTAAGAAAGGGATAAATAATAAGACATAAAATATCATATTGCCTCTGTATAAATCCATGGTACATCCACATCTTGAATACTGCGTGCAGATGTGGTGACCCCATCTCAAAAAAGATATATTGGAATTGGAAAAGGTTTAGAAAAGGGCAACAAACATGATTAGGGGGTATGGAATAGCTGCCGTATGAGGAGAGATTAATAAGACTGGGACTTTTCAGCTTGGAAAAGAGACGACTAAGGAGGGATATGATTGAGGTCTATAAAATCATGACTGGTGTGGAGAAAGTAAATAAGGACGTGTTATTTTGTGATGTTGTGAAGGCCAAGACTATAACAGGGTTCAAAAAAGAACTAGATAAATTCATGGAGGATAGATCCAAGAATGGCTATTAGCCAGGATGGCAGGGATGGTGGCCCTAGCCTCTGTTTTCCAGAAGCTGGGAATGGGCAACAGGAGATGGATCACTTGATGATTACCTCTTCTGGTGATTCCCTCTAGGGCACCTGACATTGGCCACTGTTGGAAGACAGGATACTGGGCTAGATAGACCTTTGGTCTGACCTAGTATGGCCGTTCTTATGTTCTTATGTTAGAAAGATGGGGGAAATGGACATGATATTAATGCTAATTGAGTTTCTGCAGTTAAAGTAAAAAAAGCTGTGGTATGCTTGAAAATACACTAAAATTAAACAACTTCAGCCTCTGTCATTCATCATATGTCACTGGAAATGTTGAAATTACTAACTAAACATACAGATTAAAATAAAACAGTGCATTGCGAAAAGAAACTCCACACTGTGATTTTTTTGTGAAGCTGTAGCTATTTTAGTGATGAATGGGTAAAATCCTCCAAAAAGTAAATCAGTATGAAAGAAATAATTCTGCTGATGAAACTTATGCCTACTTCAGTAAAATCCCTTCATAGCCTAAAGGGTGGCTGCAAGTTTGTATAGGTTCCTATATACAAGTGGGTATGGGTTTCTTCATGTCATATGCATGTCTGTATGTGTTTCCTTATTAAGTTAAAGAAATCTGAGCTTCATTGGCTATAACCTTGGAAGAATATAATGTATTTCCTTTCCTTTAAATCTACTATTTCCAGAATCCACTGCAACATACAGACTCCTTATATAGCTGTAATTGCTCCAACAATGAAGGGATTATGCAAGTAGCAACACTTTTTAAAGCACTTGTAGTTTTACTAGTTGTAGTTCAACATCATGGAAGGAGGCAGCCCCTTACCCCCAGTAAAAAAAAATCTAACTTTCCTATGGTACACAGAAGAGGCAGTGAATTCATTTCTGTGATTTCATCATTGTACTTTTAAAATCTGCAGTAAAAACACTGGCACAGGAAATAAGTAATAAACCAAAGAGAGCAGTTCAGAAAATCTCTCCTAATGATGGAAATTTATCAACATATTTCAGGGGGTAAAAGAAGATCTCTGCAGGGAAAAAGAAAGAACCTAAAAGAATATTATGAACCAGACTTAAAAATGGAAGTTAAAAATATTCAAGACACGAAAAGTATGAGTTAAGAAAAGAGAGGTGAAAGGTACAGCTCAGAAAGATTCAGCATGTACACACACAATGTGCTGCTTGTGTTAATGAGGGGACTATATACAGCAGTTAGCATGCTGGTATTTCAGGGCAGTGAAATGTGCGATAAAATGTGCTCCAGGGATAGAGAATGTGGAAGCAAAACAAACATTGCACTTAAACCCTTTGCATAAAAGGAATTTTAATTATGACCCTACAGCATAAGTACTTAAATTCTTTAATTAATTTCTGAAAAAATAATGGTACATGTATTTTTTTTACATTTAAACACATTATATATGATTCATATCCCAAAACACAAAGGCAAGTTGGGGGGAGGGGGTCAGGGAAGATGACAGCCCCACTATCTCCCCTCTCCAGTGACCTGATGAAAGAGGCCTCCAAAAGTACTGTGCCTGAGATCAGAGGTGGGAGAGGTGCCCAGCATTCTTAGCACTGGTAGCTCATTTTATATATTTTTTTAAAACACTCATTAGCAGACCATGGGTCTGAGTAGGTAAGGCTTTAGTAATTCTCATGAAGTATTTGGCCCTCACAAGATGGTGGAAGGATAAGGTATGAAGTTGCTAGGATGGGCATCACAGGCACTCGTATTACAGTAATACATGCACTATATAAATATATCTATATTTTCAAATGGTATGGTGTAACATTTGTACTGGAGTGACTATGCTAATGTCTGTTTAATCTCTGAGCATGCCCAGATGTTTCCAGAAGCCTGAACAGACTCAGATTGAGCTGTGTTCATGCATTTTTTTTTAAAGAAGTGCTGTGCCTTCTCTCCTGCCAAATAAGCCTCCTGAGTCTTTACTCAACATTGCATGGTCAGCTTTAAAAAGAAAGAGAATGTTAGGGCACTCTTTTACATCACATCTCTTCCCCATGCAACACGTTGTGCAGGGATTTGGTTTCAGGCTCTCCAGAGGAGGCAGAACCTTTCTGAGATGACACTGGCCTACTTTAGAATGATGTGGTACATTCACGTCTCCATACTGTGGCAATTGTGCCCCAGTAGTAACTATAAGAAATTCCAAGAGACACAGCAGTAAGTCTTACATGTTATATTGTTTGATTTTATGAAAATAAACACTAGTAACCAATGCCCAAAATGTAGGTTTTAGTATTGCCACTATTTAAAAACAAGGTTTAGTATTCAATTTAAATGTTTTTAATTCAATGTAACAAGTATAATTGAAAACAGATTTTTGTTTGGCTTTAAGCATTCACCTATTTTTTTTGTAATCTAAGCATTTCATCATTGCGCATGAGAACCAGGAAGCGAAACTGACTAGCAATGCACATTAAAAAAAAATCTAGTTTATTTTTATTGTACAAAAAGTGAAATACAAAAAGTAAACACAGAATGGGGAAATATTTCTAACATTTTTTAGTTTTCATGCTATTTATTATTTTAAGGATATGACTTTATGCTCTCCCTTTAAACTATATATTAAAAGGTTATAAAGGCTGTAATATGACTTCATTTATAAGCCACATAATGTAGGGATTCACAGAATTTAAATTAGAGATTAGCTCTGCATGTCTTTCATTTAAACTTTTGCTGTTCATAATTTGTGAGTGGGTGAGGGAGCATTAATGACAATACTTTGTTCTCAGAGCTCCTGATAACTATGGTGAACTCTTTTTACTCCCATTCTATATTTGGGGAAATTGAGGCATACAGAGACCAAGTGATTTTTTTCCTCTCCAAGCTTAGTGGAGGCTAATGGCAGAATTAGGAACAGAAGAGAGGTCTTCTAGTTCCCCGTACTAATCACTAGACACAGTTTCCCTCACAGTTTATGTGACTATAAGAAGCTGAATTTTGGATTTTTAATCACAACTTTTTGATATTGGGAACTCAAGAAAAAATTAAACTTTGAATGAAGGCTCCCATATTTCTCCTTTTCTTCTGTTAGGTCAAAACAGGGAAATATATAATTGACCACTGCACATTTTTACCTTTTTCTCCCCTACCAACACAGATACCAAATTCATTTTTTCATGAAAGGAAAGATGTTTTAAGAAATAACATTTGTGAAATGCACATATAAAATCTTACATTACAACTTCAACCTTACATGCACAAATTCAAACATGATCTATTTGGTGCATCCTACCACTCCCCTCCCGTCCCACCCCATTGCTTCCTTATTTCACAGGGTCAACACATTTTATATTATGTTCTAATTCTTGAGCAAATTTGGTTTTAACCATAGTATGGGTCAGGTGCTGCTCCCTTCAAAAATACGACTCAACCACACGTAAAAACTATTCCAGTTCTCAAAAGAAGATATTCTAATTACATGCAAGAAGTACCAAATTTGTAATCTTTGTATCATATATATGTATATCTGCTGTGATCCAAAAGTCCATATGTTATGCTAAATATTGGGAATAAAGGGGGAAAAGTAATGAGGACAAAATGCTTGGGACATTGAACTTTGAGTTGTTGCAGAGGAGGTTTGTTATTTCACTTGCTATTTCACTACTCAATTACATTTGCGTTTTCTGTAAACATAACAGCTCATCCAGCCAACATTGCCAAAAAAAACCCCCTGAATATAGAGAGGCAGAAAATTTTGAAACAGATAGTGTTATCTTTAGAGTGGGAAGAATAATGAAAAAAAACCCATAGATATTTTAACAAAATAAAATTTGTTGAATTAGTCATTCAGCTCAAGATTAGCATTTTATTCAGCACTGAATTCAGAATTTGTTTATTTATTCATTAGTTTTTAAGAACTAAACTCTTCTGAAGTCTGTATGAGATACAGGCAAAGCAAGCTATTGTTCTATTACAGTTTAATTACTTGAAACTATATGCACAAAGGCAGATATGTGAAAGCTAGAGCATCACCCTTTACTCCTTTCTATGTAGACACTAGCAAACATTGGTCTCTGGCTTATTAGGATCATAAATATGTGTGTGCCAATCTTTCATTGTTCAGCTTCTAAAGAAAAGCCCTTATGACAATGTTGTATGAAGGTACTGGGTACACATTACTTCAACCTTTCTAGTAATTGTAATCTAGTAATTGTGTTAACTTGTCAATTTCTGAAGCTCAGACATCAGCTGAATTGAAAATATGGAGACACGCATGACAGTTTTGTGTTGTTTCTGCCTGCTGTCATTCCTATTGAATTTCAGGCTTCTTGTCAATTTCTGGTGCTGAGTGCAGTGATGCTGCCATGTAGTGAGAAACTGACAAAGAGCAGTATGCTATCAGCTACACAAAACAAAACGAGACAGGTTCAGCAGCAAAGTGAAGCCTCTCCCTTTAGGTATGAATTTTACATTATGTTCTTAGTAGGATGTTTCAGAGTCCACCCGCTGTCCTAGTCAAAGTCACATCAATTCTGATTTCAGAGGAACTCACGCAAGATGCTGGCAGTAGACATAGATGACACAGAGGCATGAAAGCAGGTCTTAAAATAGGTGCAGTTTTCACAATCTTGGGTTAGTGTAAGGGCCCAATTTGAAGTTTGCAGGAGGCCCCACATGACCTTAAACTGGCCTTGCCCATCCATGCTTTTTTGACTGTGGGCTGTTTATGGGTTCCTTGAAGGGAGTGGTGTTAAGGAGCTGATGTGAAGGAAAACTGAAGAAAGCTGATGAAAGGAGTATTGGACCTGGAGCCACCTTCAATTAGAGCACCATGTGGTGAAGGAGAACTGATCCTCATCTGCATAGCAGGGTGGATAAACTGTAGGTGATGGGATTATATTTTCTTCAGTAACTTCATTTCTCCATAAGAAAAGCTTTGTTTTATTCACTCTGTATCTCTTTATCTTAACATGTGATGTTATCAAGAGCACAGACAACTGAATTCTACTTTCCCCATTGAAAACTGGGTGGATGATCTGAATGGGGGCAGTGCTCTGGCTTCTACTAACAGGGTGGGCTGTCAGAGTCTCTGAGTTGGTGGTGGCTGTGAGCAGCATCTTCAGATGTACATTTACAATGGGGGAAATCTTTTGCAGGAGGAACAAGGAGGGCCCCCTACACAACTACAGGGCAAGGTCTTTCTGTGTATTTTACAGTGTCAGGATAGCATCCCTTTCTTTATGGCAGGGAAGGTACTTAATATAAACCCTTTGTCTCAGGCAGTTTATTCTGAAAACAGGCACTTTTGAGCTGAGGAAAGGCCATGAGAACTGCTGGGCAGCTTGCACTGCAATCTTAAGGCCTAATTCTGTATGGTGCTTAACATCCTTGCATGAAAAAAAGAGCGCTTGAAGCACCATTCAGAACATATTCCTTACCTCTCAAGATCTGGCAGGAAGGGCAGCATATTGCTAGTGTCTGTTTGGGTTTTTTTTAATACAAACAAAATTATTTAGCCACCTTAAAAGTTTGGAAATGCATAGAAGTCAGGTTCCCACAGCAATCACCCTGAGTACATATTTCAAGGCAAAATTTTAAAAGCATCTGCAGTCATGCAAAATACCGTATATGGATAGTGGGCTGAGTTATGGCTACTGAAGGAATTGCAACTTTGAATTTCTTGATTTTTGTGAATTTAAGAATAATATTTTGCATTTAGGAAGAAGCACTTCATTCAAGGAGCACAAACTTCCTCATAAGCATTACATGAATAAGCTTCACAACACTCCTTCGAGGTAGGTACACAAGTACGTAGTAATATTCCTATTTGGCAGATGTGGGAGGCAAAGTGAATTTCACACTTGAGTGATTAAATATGACCATGGGCATCAAGATTTAAGTGTCTACAAATCAGAGGCTAAGGCCAGAATTTTCATAAGATACTAATGATTTTGGGTGCCTAACTTGATAAAAGATAAGGATTCTCAAAGGGCAGGTAATCAGCATTTTCTGAAATACCAAAACCCTTTAAATTGCCTCAGATTGAGAATCCAAAAATTAAGGACCCAAAATCATAAGTGTTTTCTGAAAGTCTTAGTCTATGTCTCTAAATGTGAATTTAAGCTCCTAAATCAATGATGGAGTATCCTAACTCTTGTTCTAACAATTAGACAGCATTCCCTCCCTTTTTATTTAAGCTCTCAGTTTTAATGTTGCATTTTATATATATTGTTTTGATTTCATTTAGTTTTAGTCGTCCCGTTGGAAAAGTTCAAGTTCAACTTTGTCTGCTACCAAGTTCATTTTGCAATCCCGAAGGGCTTTTATTAAGTCAGCAACCTTAGCTTCCTTTCCCTTCCATTTCTGCCACTCTCGAAGTGACTGCATCAATTGTTCTTGCAAGTTATAAGGATTGGCTGTTAGAATTCTGTCAATTTTTGTATCAGAAATTCCTAATCTTCGAACTAGCATTTTCCAGTTCTTCCCAACATTGTCACATATAACTTCAAAAGCTACATTCTGCTGACCTGAAAAATAAACAAAATGACAAAATCCAGTTTATGCCAAATGAGCGATTTACAAAGAGACATTTACAATGTGCATTTCTCTATTAATTCTTACTGTATAGTTTGTCCACGTACATATTAAGGACCACATTGTCGCAGTAAAGCCACTGGATGTGCTGAGGGCAGTGTAGAAACACCTCAGACCTGATGGAGTTTTCAGAGGCCTTGCCTCACACAGTGACAAAACTTGTCCATGAGTGCCAGGGTAGCGCAGCTCCCCTATCCAAAAAGCTGGTTGCAGCATGTACTCCCTCACCCTCCTGCATGTGGCCAGTGCAGAAACTAGTATGTAGAATTCCATGTGGCAGTCTAGAGCCAGAAATAGTGCTAGTTTGGAAGTCCTTGTTAAGGGTGAGTGAGACTCAAATAATGCATAGTCCATGTACTGGCCTTTAGCAGAGGGGTGAATTTCACCACAGAACTATTTCCGACTATTTGAAACATTATTCGCTTTTTTTTTTTTTTTTTTTTTTAAAAGAGCGAGGCAGACCTCTGCTCCAAAGTGTTAGGGGTTAGATTGAACGATTTCCACATCTAGCTTACTAAAAAAAAAAAAAAAATTATCAGTGTTTGCCACGGTGTTAGTTTGCAAAATAAAAATAAGAAGATGAGTCCACTTACATTTTTCTTTCTCATCTAGATGGTCGACAACATCACCTTGTCCACCTTCTATGAACTCCTGTAGTTGCATTATCAGATCTTCTCTTTTAATGGTTTTGATCATGAGCTGGAGAAAATCTACCTTCTCTCTTGCAATCTCCCGCTGTTCAAGGAGGATGGTGAAGAGATCATTGCCAGTTTTGACAGACTCAAGCTTCCTTTTGCCAATTTTGCTCAGGCACAGAAATTTAAGGGCAGAGAGCTCATTGTCAGATAAGCTCATGGAAAATGAATGCAGGAGAGACAAAAATGGGTCCATTTTGGTAAGCCCTGTGAAAGAATATCAAGAAAAAAATGTTTTGTGTGTAAGAAAACATACAGGAAGTCTCACAAGTTGTTTGCTTTCTGCATGCCTAGGAAACACCTTTCATTTGAAGATAAAATTTTCTTTTATTAAATATACACGTTCTTAAAAACAAAAATAAAGCTCTTTGGCATGATTACCTTCCTGGAAGGCAATTAACATTAGCTATTCCTCTACAAACATTTCTTACTTTCACTTTCACAATGCACTGTCATTATCAGTAACTAAAATCTTACACTTTCCAAAGTTTGGAACAAACTTCAATATACTTTCTCTTGGAAATCGAATTGCTGTTATGAACAATATGTAAAGATATGTTTCATTTCAGAGGAGTTGCTACTTACTTCCTGGTTTAATCTATGTTGCCCTGAAAGCCTAGCTGCGATGAAGAAAAACTTCACTGTGCTGAAGGCAGCTTTCCTTTTACACAGAGATCTGCCTGTCACCGGAAATCACATGAATGAGTGACGCAAACATTTCAGCCTCAGGGAGTGCTCTATTTTCCAGTGAACAGTAGATGGCAATACCATACAACTATCTATCCTACCATATACACACACACATACCCTGAATACTGGTGCCAGGTACACACATACTACTGAAAAACTACATCAAAATCTGTAGTCTAAAGATCAACAGAAGACCTGTCCAAAATGGTCCTAAATTATTATGAAAAAGCAAAGCAATTCTATTGTATGCTCAGTAAAACATCACCATTAAGGATTGTGTATATATTTAAATCAAATCCTTCCCCTTAAGAATTGTAACATCAAGAGTAAAAACTGATGTTCAAAAATACAAAAAATAGGAAAGAATGTGAAAGTATTCAGAAGTTTTACTCTGAATTATTATGGCAGCTGCATAAAGGTTTATTTCACACTAAAAAAGTGGGACAAATTTATGCCAGGTGTAATTCCCTTTAAGTCAGTGGATTTACACTAAGAATTAAGTTAGCGTATTCTTCTTACTAATCCAATACTAAGCCCTAATCATAAGAGAATCACAAGCCTATTTTCACACCTTGCTCAGTTCTCAGTACCTAAACTGAGATTGAACTATGACATCATGTTTAAACTGGACCCCTGGAAGTGTACTTGGATTTTTCAGTGTAGGGGTAGATAAATTAGGATGGGGCAATTATGGAGTAAGTCAGGGTGCTCACTGTTAAGTACACTGTGCCTATTCCATATAGTTTCCTGGAGAGATTAGCATTTAGGATATTAATAGCACAGAAAAGTAGGTGACCAAGTTCAGAATAGATATGAGGGCAGGTTAAACCTTATTTGAAAACTACCCCCATAGTGAGGAATGCATAAAGTTAACAGTCATTTTATGTTATATTATACAAAATGTATGTGTTTGGTGCAAACATTCAGTTCACCACCTGCCTCCTGCTGCAGGAAAAAGCAGGTCTAGCTGCTTGGCTGGTTATCTGTGCATAGTTTCCTGCAACCCTGTTTTACTGCTCCCCCTATATTTCCCCTTGTTGTTTTTCTCCTCTCATCCCTCTGTAAATAAATATTTCTCTTTCTTCCTCACTGTCCCCCTCCCCCGTAGGAAAAAGATTTAAAGGGGCCATGCTCTCTAAACCCCAAAGGGGTTACAAATGGTAAGTGTTTAAATAAGCCAGGGGTTCTAGGCCCCCATTTGCTGAAGGATTTTATGGCTTCTGGTTAAGTTTAGCATTTACATAGTGCTTTACAATCTATCAATCAACACATAAATCTGAAATGCCTACTTATTATTTTCTCTTTACAAGAGGGGAATGAATCACAGCAGTTAAGTGGTAAAGTGAGTTGATAAAGGCCACAAAAGGACCCAGTGTCACAGCCAGGGTCAGAACATAAGAGTCCTTTATTCCTTGTCCCTTATGCTATTAAGATGCTTCCCCTTGTGGCCAAAAGTCAATGGCTGCTCAATGGAGGAGTCAACTCCCAGCTGCAGGCATCTGCGGGAGTAGCAGCAGCTGCCTGAGTTATACTGCCATCCACAGCAACAAATTGATATCAGGTTCTTCTAAAAGCTGAGGGACCTATTATCATGAATTTCACTGACCTCAAAGGTGAAGCCTAGAATTATGAATACCTCATGATTATTAAGAAAATCAGACAAATTTTCAAACCCAGCAATCAATATTTTAAGCCTATTTTTATACAGAGAAAGCTTTTAGTTTTAAGAAAAGCTCCCAGCATAAGTTTAGCCCTGACATTGCTAAACTCTAGGGAACTTGCGATTATGGGCTTTACAGGGACCAACCCCTGGACTTTTCTCATAACTTTGTAACCCAACCTGAACTTCTCCCCTGTACTCTGGTGTCTGTGTTGGAGGGGGAGCTCTCTCACTCTCTTCCCAGACCACACGCATTATTAATTATTTCCAGCATAGCCTTCAGTTTACTAGGCACTGTACATACACAGAAGGTACGGTCCCTGCCCCAAAGAGTTTTCAATCTCACCTACGTAAACTCAAAGGTTATTGTCTGTATCTCCCACATCTCCATCCTCACACTCCAGTTCTAAGGAGGCCAAAAGCCATTTTTGACAACTTAACTTTCTGGCAAAAATAGTAAAAAATCCCAAAAGAACAAACCACCCCCAAACAAATATTGCCTTTAAATTTTATCATCCCTATGGTACATGTGAAACCTTCTCTGACCCTACCTCCAATTAATCACAAAAATCAGGATTAATACTGGTGTCTTTACCAGCCTCCTCTCTTCCTCTTTGATCCAGTAGTGGGTGGATTTCCTATCAGGCAGGTGTTATAAGCTGCCTAATGTATATGCAGCACCACTGCCCTCCACTGGATGGAATATCAGACCTGCTTAAAGGGCTGGTTCTGTGGGAGCCCCAAATGCTGCAGGAAGGGGAGAATTACCAGCAGCAGTGTCATATGGAGAGGATATGCTAATACTGGAGAGAATTATTAACACTGATAATGTGGGACATGATAGAACTCACTCCAGGCACTTACGTTCCCTGTTTTCTAAGAGATAGAGTAGGTCTAGGTATTTTCTTTCTTGTGTCCTGATGATGCCTTTAAACAAAGGCATGAGACACCAGAGTTACTGTGGGCTGGTGTAGTGAGGTCAAGCAGGAAAGATCCATTCACATCACAACAATTTGAAATACTCAGGTTCAGAATGTAAGGAGTTATCGGGCATAAGGCCAAGTAACAAACAATATAACGTCTGATTGTACAGAATGAGGCATTTTAGTGTACATTTTTATTCTGCAATAAAATATGAATCTATCAAACAGTGCACCAGTGAAACAAGAAAATACATGGAACTCAGTTCAGGCTGAGTCTATGCAAAGGAACTCTAAATTACAATAATTTACACCTTTTTGGTAGCTCCCTCAGCATGTAGATTAAACCATTTTAAACTCAAATTATTTTAGACACCCATAAGGGCCAGATTCAGAGCTGATATGTGAAGTGATGTAATTGCAGTTCAGTATGAAAATATGAGTGTAAGGGAGTCTAATTGGTATCACTGACACACTGAGGGGCTTAAAGATATAACTCAACTCTGTTTAATTCCCTTAGCCTCACCTCTGAAATTTGGCACAATGGAGTTGCACCCATTTTTACCAAGCCTGAATTTGGTCTGTTAAGGCTAGTCTGATACATGCACAGTTGAAAAACCCAAGCAGCTTGCTTTCCTTTAGCCTATTGCCTCTAAAGCCAATTCACAGGGTTGAGGAAAGGAGATGTCTGCCAGTGGGTAACAAATTGTAATCTTTTCAATGTGCAGAATAAGCTCAGTGGTTTGAGCATTGGCCTCCTAACCTCAGGGTTGTGAGTTCAATCCTTGAGGGGGCCACTTAGGGATCTGGGGCAAAATCAGTACTTGGTCCTGCTAGTGAAGGCAGGGGGCTAGACTCGATGACCTTTCAGGGTCCCTTCCAGTTCTATGAGATAGATATATCTCCATATATTAAAAACTACCGTATGTATTTGACCAGCTCAGTTTTCCAGATATTTAGATCTGAGAGTGATCCTGTCACATAATCAAATGATATCTAGATTTCATGGGCAATATCTTACAAGATCAGGCAGAGGGAGCTCAAAGCTTTATAGAACATTAAACAGATCTGTGCTTCAGAGTTCCGAGAACAGCATTAGTAAGAACTCCAACTCTTTAGATTTCTCTAGGGTGCCAGTCTCCAAGGTATCTAGGCATCCACTAAAGAATGCAAAATGTATTCTGTAAAGGATTTTGCTCTCTGCCCTATGAGTTGGCTTCAGTTACTTTGTGCATGTAAATGTGGTGTAGATGGTACAGCTTAGATGTCTATTGAGAGCCACATAATTTGTTTACTTGTTGTTGCTTTAAAAGCGGTATACCAAGTTGTGTGTATTGTACATTAATGATATTTAAGAAACGTATATAGCACTGTGTTTGAAATCCCCTGAGCAACAACAGTTTTGCTAAGTGGGTTTGTGTTACACTTTTGGAAGGTGCTTTGCGTAGGCCAGCTTTGGCGCATCTGGCTGGGTTTGCCCCATTCTACAGTCTGGTCCCCTGCATACTTCTTTCTGTATTCTAATAGCTGGGATCACACAATGCTTCCTGTGGGACCAATGGTTTACCTACTCTAATCTAATGTAAGTATCAGTGCTTATTGCCATCATATTGGAGCTGCTGTATCCAGCTGCAATTACAGTGCTTTCTCTATTACTCTCAAGCAGTGTCCTCTGGGTCTGAGGTCAGTGCGTCTATATAAACTGGCCAAACAGCCTCATATAAACAATGTCTTCCACTCCTCTCCTCAATGATGTACCTGTGGTAAGCTTGGAAAATAAGGGATCTGATTTCTTTATCAGACCACTCTCTCTCATTTAAAAGAGATTGCTTTCCCTTCCCATGACTGGGAACTCTGGGTACATAGTATATAATACGTATTGCAGTATCACTTTATATATTTCATCTCTTGCCTTGTTTCTGAGCTACAAGTCTGTCAGTTCATATTTATTTTGCTTGCCTTTGATATGATGAAAGTCTAAATCAATTTGATACTTTAGCATGGTGCCCTGCTCCCTCATATACCTGAGTAGCTGAGGTAAGAGGGCATGGTGCTCACTGGATCGGTAGTAGCTCATGACTGAGATTGTACAATTAAAGGAGAGCTCAGGAACATGTCTTTAAAAGAGCTGCTACCACATATGACCTGACTATCCGGATCAAAATTGGTGCCCCAGCTGCAGGGTGAGGAGAAAGCCAACAGATTGCTTCAGAGGTAGAAGCTGGATTCAAACCGGATGGGACTTGAGAAAGTTTGCCTCCCTCCTGCTGTTGCTTTACAGGTGGATAAGTGGCTTTTGTAAGATTGGCTGGGCTGACTGTCATAAGAGTGGGAAAACTGGCAAGGGCCATGTGGTTTTTATCTTGGCAAATAGAAAGAAGAAGGGGGGCATC